CGGTGCGTCCTTCGCCTTGCCGGCAGCGATCGCCTCGCTCACAGGTTCCTTGCCCGACCTCCTTGAGTCCTTTTGCGACCTCAAGGGCTCTTCCTCAGATTCGGTCTCAGACTCGTCGACCTAAATCTGCTTCCTCTTCTTCGACCTCTGGGCCGGAGCCTTCCCCCTTGGGCGAGCAAGGTGGTGCCTGAGCGACCTGTTCTGCCCTAGTCACTTCTTGCACAGGTTGGGGCTGGGAAGGCGCGGCAGTTCGCACCGGTTGTGCCAGAATGGGACAAGCAGCTTCGATCGCTCTCTCCTTCCTCGATCGAGGGAAGACGAACGGTGCTCGGTGAGGCTGCTCGGACTCCTTCGGAGGCATAGTTTCTGCATGTAAGTACATTAGTAAACAAAACTATTCTGCGACCAGAAAGAAAATCAGCGTAACTTACCTTCTAGGGGCTCTAAAGACGCGTTGTTACTGATAAAACCGTACTTCCGCAGTTCGCGGTTGTCACGAGCTTTTTCGAGTCCTGGCTTTCCTCGGGAAGGACTCCAAAAGATACGAGCCTGTCTGGGTCGTCGAGCAAGTCTTGGCTGGTCGTTCTATTAACTGCAAAAGAAGAAAACAGGTCGTTATTATAAAGCATGCGAACAGATAATATACCTAGCGAGGAAGAACCTACTTGGTTTCTGAAAGCGGCAGTAGCCATCATAGCAGAAAAAGAAGAATTTCGTCTCGTAGGCCCCCGCGTTGCTGGGATAGCTATGTATCCCTTCGGCGATGGTAGGTCATTGGGACAAGTAATACGAATCCTTGTCCCTACTCTTTTTAAGATAGTAGGCAATACCGAGCTCCACCGCCATTGGCTTGCCCAAGCCGCTTTCGCAGCATGCGATGTACATCGCGACAGCGATGACATACGCGTTTGGTGTCAACTGCATCGGTGCGATCCCGAAGTGATCCAGGACCAACCTGATGAAAGGATGGAAGGGAATCATCCCTCCACCCTTGAAGATCTCTTTGGAGATCGCAGCAAGGCCATCAGAAGGATGCCGTGACGACCGGGTGTTGTCGAGGAACACCTCTGCGTGGACATCATACTATTTTTTAATTCTATCAAGCTCTTCTCGGGTGAGAACCGAGAAGACGTCAAGGGATGCGTCCGCGGGAACTTCCCGCGAGGACGAGCTGGTTCCTTCCTCGAGTCTGGACGTTGACGGCTCCATTCCAGAGTCTGTAACACCGACAGACACGGTCATTTTAGCCTTCGCATTTTGTCCCGTGCGGCGGCATGGGACAAATTCCTTAAACCCTAACAGTAACTCGAGCCGCCATCCACGGTTTGAGTTCGACGACAGCGGCGTGTCTCTGGTGAAACACCAAGAGACTCAACGCCGCTGCCCACCAGCCAAACCAAAAAAAAAAAAAAAAAGAGGAAGAAGAAAAAGGATCTTACCTTCTAGGATGCGTTACCAAGGCCGAATCTTGTTTCAGATGTCTAAGAAGTGCCAATCGGAAAAGAAGAACTTCCGGTTTGCAAAGGCTTGTCACTCGAAGCAAAAGGGATTTTGGTGGCCTCATCTGAAAAATGTGAGCTTTTATATGGACTGCGAATCGACGGTTACTACCACTCGGAACTGAAACGACAGCCTTCTCTCTCTCCCCCCACATCGCATTAAATGCCGTGATGAGGGTCGTCGTTTCAAATGCGTCGTGCAGTTAAAGCTGTCAAAACAACGCCGGGTCAGCACACAACGCATTTAATGCGCCTGACAGACACTGCAGCACGTGCAGAGCGCCTGGCAGCGTGGAGGCAGGTTCATTGAATCTCCAACCCTAAGGCACAGAAAGGAACGTCCGACGAATCCAGGTCGCTAAAATGATGATTGTCAGGTCGTTTGGGCAAAAATTGTGCGAGGTCGTGTTCGCAGAAGGCCCTATACCGAGCTTCTTCCATTCAGGTCGGAACTATCAGAACCTCCAATCGCGGCATAATTTAGTTTCCAAGGTTCGATCCTCAAACCTTAAAAACTAAGGGACTTCTGTTATGCCTGGGAAATCAAGGGCTGACGTGGAGTCACGTGACAAAACGTGACCTGCTCCCGTCAAAATAGTAAGCGCACGTCAGGCTTGCCAAGCGCCCTGGAGCTCCCACGTGTCCGTTTCCCCGCTCCAAATCACAAGAAATCAGCTTGGGAAATGGGCAATGGGACGTAAAGCCGGATTATGTCCTGACATTCACACCAACCCAAGGATTTAATGATGATTACATGCATTCAACTTGATATAAAAAGAGGAAGACCCCTTCATTAAGGGGATTCGGCCATTTTACATTTGAACTCTCTCTCTCTAAGAACTTTGTATTTACTTTTCCAATCATTTGTAAGTCAGTCTGCTTTAGCGACCTGACCCACCATATCAATACAAATCAGTGGACGTAGGACTTGCCACCTTAGCATCCGAACCACTTTAAAAGCTCTCATTGCATTTATTTCATATTCACTATCCATACTCACGTGTGTTTTTTGACCAATCAACGTTGCGCACGTGTCGATTAGTTGGTGCCAAAATCACGCATCAACAGACTCATTGGCTCATTGCTAACAGCCTTAACTCTTTGAAAAATACGAAATAGGAGGACAAACCAAACCAAATATAAATTGTTTTAATTTCTTATTATAAATATAAAAGATAATAAATCAATTTACAAAAATATATTAATTTCAGCGATTAGTAATATAAATTATTAACAACAAAATCAGAACATTGCTACGTCGTTATGCTAATAATTAATTTCATCTTCATAGTAACAAAAATTAATGAACTTGCAGAGTTGTAGACTTGTAGTTGCTCAATTTGATTTAGTTTTATTAACTCAATTTTCAACTGCCTCCGACTTGAATTATGGTTTCAATTTCTCTGTGAAGATTGCCTTGGGATATGGAAGATTTATATTAGCCTACCAAAGAACAATTAAGCACTGAAAAATAAGGTTTATTACCAAATGAATTTGTATCACAAAATTACATCCAAAATTATATAGCTTTTTGACGGGTGAACTATGTGAATGTTTAAATAATGTTCTAAATTGAAGTAATTAATTAACTTAATTTCATCTTCAATTAATTTTTAATATTTCACTTCACAAAATATTATTTGCCATGTGGAATCTAAATCCATTTCTACCTTTTTATTTTGCTTGAAATTGATGGTATTATCAATTTTATAACACATAATGGATAATATTACATTTACAATTCAATCTCACAAGCTTTCTCTCATAACTCCGACGTATCAACTCGTAAATGGGTCTCATCTACTCACCATCTACTCATTATAGGTCCCACCTATCAATTTGCAAACTGATATATCATGATTGTGAGAGAAAGTTTATAGGATTATTTACTACCCCGTATCTTTTGTAAGTAAAAAGTAAAAACAGTCTTTACTACTAGTTTGTAAATAAATAACATTTTTTCACTTTTCTTTATAAATAATAAATAATAAAATACAGTAAAAGCCCTAAACATTTCTACTCTCTAAAAGAAACATAATAATCCCTCATTTAGTTTATGGCAGTTTATATACCTTCGTTTGCTCAAATTGATTTTGAATAATGTATATATTTGATAACCTTGAATTCTAGCTATTTCATTGGCCATCTTAGATAGATCCTACCATTTTTCTTTTGATAAGAATAATAATAGATATTATAAATTGACATGATATGAAATGGATCAATGAGTGGATATAATAATCAATTCAATAAATGTTAACATAAAAGGGTAATATTTTATATTTATTTGTATACGTCATATTATTGTTTCTGTGCAAAATTTGTTGATAACAAAATTTTGAGCTCTCATGGCCCCATGATAGTTCTTATGACCTATTACTGGTCTGGGCTTCTGGATGCCCTTTGATCCATATCTGCATGACATGGCCCTTCTCGTTTACCACAACCAGACATTCTAAATTCACCCATTTAAATATTTTTGGGCTGTTATGAGGAATATGGTTACCCTTTTATTTTAAGCGCTTAACATCTTTGAGCCCTGGTAGTGCTTTACACAATTTGGGCATTCAATTATGCAGTGCACCATTTGTGCTTAAATAACATAAAATCTAATGAATATTTAAGTTAATATAAATTACCACAAATATTCTTTAATTTTCATAAGTATATATTAAGGAGATCCACATAATTAATTTAAATAAGTTAAATATGATTCACTCACCAGATACAAGTACTTGTTGAATGTGAATCCTAGTATTCTATTGATTATCATTTTGTAGTTCTTGTTATATAGTTCCTTCTGTTAGGTTGGCAAGTTCCGGTTTCACTACATTATATAATAACATAAATCTATTGTCTTCTTGGTTTCTAATTTGTATTTCACTTGAATTTCTTTCAAAAACATTATTAATACCAATATGAACCACCAATTTTTCAGAAATTTCACTTCAGCAAATGTCTTTCACAGGTTCAATATTGGAGGGGTTCTGCTCTTGTTCTGGAATTTGTCCTTGTAGTTGGAATATGACTTACAGATGAACAGAGTTTAATTAACCAGATCTGTTGATACTTTTTCTGAATGTTTTTATGTCTAAATATCCTCGTATATAAACTGATGCTTGAATCATATTTACAAGTCAATAAGAATTGTTTTCTAAATGCATATATACATCTGAAGCGCAGCAAGAATAGTGCATGAAAATCTGTCAACAAAAGTTCAAGTTCATTCATTAGAGGAAAATGCATACATACCTGAATTAACGGAATATGAAACCCACTTTATTCATTAACAAGAAGTCCAGAACTTAGCCTCGCAGGCCAAAATCTTAACAAAGAAAACCATTATCATATCAAACATCAGCTTGGTTTGTATACTAAATGAAGCAAGTTCAGTCCAACTCTTATCAACTGAATTCGAGTAGTCCAATAAAAGCTAAAGAAAATTTCTTTTCCACAGCTGCATATCTTCGGACCAACATTGCAAGTTTAAGCACTCAGACATCACAGAGCAATTAAAGCAAAGAAAACCAGTATCTTCTTGACATAATTTTGCTCTACTGGCATATTTGATTCATATACGTCTGTAACTCTCCTGCATCTGAAGTTCCAAAATTTTAAATTAGAAAAAAAAAAAAAAGTATATTCATAACCAACTCTAGTTCCAGAAACCTGCATTCCCGTTATATTGTGGTCATCTTTTAATGAAAATCATAATAAATTTAAAATCTCTACACATAATAAATTTATCCCAGAAAAGATTAGAGGAACAATAATGTAATCTTTATATGCAATTTTATTACATACTAAGTCAAACTGGCAAGCTGGTAATTTCCTTTTTAACACAAAATTCAACAAAATTTTCTTTGAAGAACCTTTTCGTTTTCTAAATTTTTTGTTTCAAGTATTTAAAGAATAAATTTAGCTAAAGCTCACAAATTTCCGTACAAATTAGGAGCAATAATAGCATTCCATTCAAATTTTAGTTAACATTAGGACATTAATTACCTTATTTACTTTTGAGATATGGAATTATAGTGGCAGATCCAGAAATTTTTTTTAGAGTGGGTCAAAATAAAAATTAATTACATATTAATATTTTTGTTAGGGTGGGCTAAAATCCCAAAATTATATATATTAATATTTAAAAAAAGGAAATTTGAGGGTGGGCAAAAGTGGGCTGGATCCGCCCTAAGGAAAGGAAATAGCAAAAGACAGGCATCATATTTAGGTTTTCTCTGACCTGTATTTGCTGGGAATTCGCTTAAACTTCCCACTCCACACTTTTTCACCCGGCAACAACATTCCCTGTCCGTATTTAAATTATGAACAAAACATTTGATGGTCACCGTAAGGAAGTAGGAGTGGTAAACTGATAAATCGCCTACAATCCGGTCAGGTGATTTATCATATGCAAGGAATACGTGATCTGTGTCAACATAGTCAGGTCCACTACCAAAATCCCAACCACCTAAAGTGCCTTGGAATGATTTCGTACGATCTTCATCATCTGCTAAAATGCAGTCAAAGCCCACTAACAAACCCTGCCCCTCATTATCATGATAGTTTTGAAACTCTACAACGGCGCAGACAGTAAGACCATAAATGAATACAGTTCCGGTCAAATCCCCTCGCACCGTGAAAGTTATAGCTGATCCTGTTGTTTCAAAGCGGAACCATCTTGGAATTTCGTTTCCTGGGAAAAAGATAAAAGCCCTACCTGGAGTAGAAACCTGTAAAAATAAAATAAAAAATAAAACAAAATAAAGCTCATCAGTTTTGTGACGTCATTAAACTTCTTGTTACAGTGAAAGAAATTAAAATCATATGAAATAAGCAATAGTGAGAGAGACCTCGTTTGATTTTCCAAAACTCTCGATTTTCTTTAGAGCATCTTCCACAATTTTTTCGAACGCATTTCGATCCACCAGTCTGAAACAATTGATGAAGTTCACTCTTAGGCTTTGGGGAGAATTTCTGGATAATAGAATTGGCAAACTTGGTGATGCTTCCAGTGACACGCAATTGTGTGCATCCATACTTTCTAATTGACATGGAAGTTCTGGTAATGATCGAAGCTTCGCGCAATAGCTTACGTCAAGAGAAGATAACATGGAAAGGTTTGTGATGCTTGCTGGAATGCTCTCAAAATTGTTTGTGCCTAGAAGTAAGCTCCTTAGTGAGGATAGCTGACCAATATTGTTAGGTAACTCCTCGATACAACAGTTGGTCAGATTTAATTCTTTCAGAGCTTCTAAATATAGTAAGTTGTCAACAAATCCATCTAGTTTTGAACATCTTGAGAGATTCAGATGTTCAAGAGATTTCAACTTACAAATATTGCTTGGAAGACTCTTAAGCATTGAACAATTTTTGAGATTCAATATAACTAGTTTGGAAGGCTCTTCTATCCTTAGCGGCAAATCCTCTATTGCAGTTTCATCTAAAAGTAACTCTATTGCATTACTCGAGATCTTAGGAAGCATCTTTAGATTTGAGCAATAAGAGAGGCTGATTTTTTCAAGAGATCCTAATTCAATGCTAGTTGGAAAACAATGAAGACTTTTGCAGTGCCTTAGATTTAAGATAACAAGTTTATCAAGACTTTGAATAGAAGAGGAAATCTCATGCAAACTTGAACAACCTTCTAAAATTAAACTTTGAAGATTTGGGGCCAATGAAAGATCATGAACTTTTAGAAGCGTCGAATGACTGAGGTCGATAAATTTCAATTTATGAAGCTGTATGACAGGAAAGAAATGATAGTTAGTAACTTTAATATACAACCGAAAGATAATCACATAAATATCAATATAGAATAATACTACACATACATCATTTCTCATACAACATTATGTGACAAGATATGATTGGATGAAAATTTAATTTTAACTTTAAATTAACCAATCATATCTTACCACATAATATTGTATGAGAAATGTTGTATGAAAAAGATGTATGTGCAGTATTACTCATCAACATATTACCTTAGCACCAGGCCAAAGTTGTTCAATATTGCTATAAGGCATATCAAGTGCCACAAGGTTCTCCGGCAAGAAATTTGACAACAATGATTTCAACGAGCATCCATGCCAACAGAGGTACCTTAGCTCTATAGAAACAGAATTAAGGCCTTCAGAAACATGTACCCCACTACTGTTATTCTTTTCATAGTTTGAGTTATGTAGTTTAAATAATCTCAAATTATGCATCACTTCCAATGCACGAGGTTGGAAGTGTATGATTTGTCCCTCTAATTGAGACATATCCAAACATATGCCTTGTATCGCTTTAGTCCACTGACAATCAAGAAAAGCTGACAATTAGCTAATTATAAACATAATTTAAAGATTAAATTACTAGGTACTAGTCAAAGCTTTAAATTTTTTTTGTACTCTTTTTATAATTCTTAAATATCAAACAATACTCTTCCTAGCTAGCTTACCCAAACCTTCTATTGCGTAAGCAAATGCACAAATAAAAAGTTGAAACAAAACTCTCATAGCTGCTGTTTTCTTAAATCTCACATGTATGAAATAGAAATCAAAGGGAGGGATATAGTTTAAAATTTAAAATATATATAAAAAAAAAAAAAAATGTAAGATTTGCGGTTTTCTTTATTTAGTAAATTACCTTAGATGTCACATTTGTAACTAAGCTTCATAAAAAAAAAAAAAAAATGGAAAATTGCATATTTTCTGACACTTACTGTTTGTCCTTGCAATACTTTATATATATCTTTATGATACCATAGACGACTACGTGCACCAGGATCTTCTGTAGATTGTTGCCGCACAATTTCCCAACCCATTTCTTGAAGCAAATCATGCGTTGTTATTTTGTTATCGCATGATACGGTTACTAGACATTTGTCAATGAGAATATCTATTCCACGTTTTGCAAAGAAGCCGCAAGCATCTAAGAACGTTGTTGCAAACTCTCTATCCTCCCATTTTAGAAAACATGCAATATCTAGAAATATGCTCTTGTCCAAATCTTCAAGTTCATCGTAACTTATTTTTAGCACCTTTTGAATGTCCTCATTCGGAATTATTTGTAATTTCTCTATTGTACTTTTCCAAACATCTCTTGCCTTGCCATATAAAAGGGAACCCAACACTTCAAGAACTAATGGAACGCCTTTAGCATACCTTATTACCTCTTGTGATAAGTCATCATAATCTCTTAAAGGATGATTTTGGTGGAAAGCATACCTATTAAAAAGCTGATGAGCATCATCTTCAGATAATCCCTCTATCCTAAATATATAATCATCAGGCAATTCACAATTTGTAAGCACTTGCTTATCCCTTGTTGTAATGATAATTCGACTTCCCTTGCCAAAACATTTAGGATCTTCAATAAAAGACTCTATTTGCTTAAAATGTGTCACATCATCGAAAACAATGAGGACTTTTTTTGAGCCAAACCTTCGTTTTATAAAGGTGGAATCTATTTTTGAAGGCCTATCTCCTAATATTGGAGAAAACATTTCTTGTTTCAAAGGAGCTAATTTAGTATTACCACTTGATCTTTCTCTAACATTATCAACAAAATAAGAAGCTTCAAATTGACTTTTTATTCTAGTGTATACAACTTTTGCAATAGTTGTTTTTCCTATACCACCCATTCCCCAAATTCCTATGACGAGAAAATTAACTTTAACTTGAAAATCACGACCATAAACTTGATCGCATAAATAATGAACTATGCAATCACAAATACCTTGGATTCCAACCAAGTTCTTATTATCAGCATCTGAATGCAAATCATCTAATTTCCTCAAAACTTCCTGAACAACTCTCATTGCAATGTCAAATGTAGCCCTTGTAAGAAAAACAAACAATACTAATAAGTAATCCAAGTAAACCAGGAGAAGGAAAAAAAAAAAAAAAAAGTGATTTCTATTCTGCAATAATTGATCAAAGAAATAGGTCATTTCACCCTTGAACATCAGAAATTCTCCTAGAAGAATTATGTTAGTGATTAAAAATAACTAAAAATACAGTTGTAAAAGGTATATGACCAAGAAAAGATTTACACATCTATATAACTTCATTTGGTCAGAATTGACCGTAAATGGAATTTGATCTTTGGCTTTGCATCTATATAACCTTAATTTGATATTCCACATCTTAATGTTGAAGATTTTTTTTAACAAATTAAACATACGATAATGCTTGAGATTGTTGACTAATGACCAATTATTGTTCAAAATGTGATACCCCGTATTTTTTTATAAGTTTTACTAAGAATTATTGGTTAAAATTTAGGGTGCAAAGTGCAAGAATTAGGAACTTTGAGGGAGGAAAGTGTCACAACTAGAACGATGAAGGGCTAACATGAAATTTGCCTAATTACATAGAAAGGGCTAGGGTTCTCTCATTGGGGCAAAGTCGGAGAAGAGAGGTAGAGAAAAAAAGGAAGAAGAAAAGAGGGAAATCCGAAATTGGTTGAAGGTAAGTGGAATTCATGTACATTTCATCCTAAACCCTAAACGCATGTTCTACTTCATGAAGTGTGTTCATTTTTGTGTATAGTGATACCATGTTTTGTATTTGATTTCTAATACTTATGTTTTAAGAGACTATTTGTATTTCTAATTTATGATTGTTAATTGATTTTTATGTAATGTTTTCGAAATATTCACCCTCCTTTTGAAATCTTGAGTCCCTCAGAGCGCCCAGATCTGATAGGATTTGGACCACCGGAGAGGGGGTGTGACACAAAATGTTTAAAATAAATAGAACTTTAGAATAATGAAAAAGAAATAATTAGTTGTTACCTGTGAATTTGAACTTTTTGAAGTGCAGGACCGTTTAGATTTGATTTTATATGCTCATGAATTCCGTGAAATATTTATCTCTCGCAAACTTGACCAAAAAAAAAAAAAAAAAAAAAAAAGGAAATAGAAACTCAGCTATAAATATTGTAAAAGAGTAGAACATTAATTACGTTCTGTTAGTTGCGGTGTAGCCAGCTAGGTTGGCTGCTGTTGTCAAAGCATTCTTCCATGTCTGAATCTTGTCTTTAAATTGTTCTTCCGTCATTTGTAGCTTTTCTAACTTCTCCTTATTAAAACTTTTGACAAGCTTGGCAAATTCTTCCCCAAAAGTTCCAGTCTGATTACTTACACTTGATGGATCTACATGATAGAAAATTGGTCGTACCATCTGTTGGTGCATTTGTTTGCATTCAATGATCTTCACAAGTTCTTCAAGGCACCATCTAGAAGAGGCATACCTTTCTGAGAAAATGACGACTGAAATTTCTGATTCTTCAATTGCATTCATAAGAGATGACGAAATTTCATCTCCTTTCTCAAGCTCGTCATCAAAGAAAACAATGATATTTTTCTCAAGCAAAAGTCCATGTAGAGTGCTGGCAAAACAATAGCGAGTGTCCTTCCCTCTGAAATTAATGAAAACATCGTACTTCTTTATTACTGAAGGAGTAGGGGAAGAAGAAGAAGACGCCATCTCAACAAAACTCAAAACAACATCTCAAGAACACATCTCAAAATTATAAAAGCATATCAGTGGTTAATCTCTAAGCAACTTCCTTGAAACTTCCATAAAGTCTATGCCACTCAATTAGAGAAATTTTCACGAATGAGAAATTAATTAATTGACAGGGAGTTGTACCAAGTAATGTTTTCACCTAACTTTTTTCTTTTTTAAATTAATTACTTTGTCTTTGCGGGACCATAGCTTTTTTTTGTTTTGGCCAAAAGAATATGGAATACATGAAATTGAATGGTTAAAATCTCTCTATTTATTTGTTTTCCCTTCCACTTCCAAAACACAATTTTTTTTTTGCCTTCTTATTCCTTAAAAAAAAAAAAAAAATCCTTTGGACTCTCCCATGGTTTCTCCGGTTCTCCCTAACATGTCTTCTCGCAACAGCAATAATTAGGAGTAATGAGTTTTAATATTTGGTGGATATCCCTCTCTATCATTTAAAAAAAAAAAAATCTTATACTATTAAACAAGCCAAATGAAATCCATTGGCATTTAACAATACCATTAACGTATTTAATGCATTTGATGTTTAATATTACCCAATTTATAGTATTATAAATCGTCCTTTTATACTTACTTTAAATTGTTATATATTTAATCCAAATTAATGTAAATAAAAATATTAAAACATCAATTTATACATTGTATTAGGAAGTTTATGATATAATTTATAGTTTATTTAATATTTGACAAATTATTTCACTTATCTCATTAGCTTAAAATCTTATGAATTTAATATGTATAATTTGAAAATCTTATGAATTTTTACCTAGTTTCTCAAATTAGGAGTGACTAAAACAATTTCACACATTTGTTTTCCTTTGATATATTTTACTCCAGCAAATAAAATAGAGCTATTCAAAAGTATATAAAATTATAAATATAGTTTTAAGAACCCCACCCAAAAAAAAAAAAAAAAATTGTTTGATATATTGATTGGCTTAATTTAGTATGTTGAAATTGAACTTAATGTTACAATGGATGGAAATATGACATTGATAAGACAGACGTCAAGGCCCACACTTCAACAAAGGAACTGAAATGAAGACTTGGGAATTGACTGAAACAACCTGAGTAGATGATACTACTGGATTATGAAAAATTATCGGACGGCTGTCATTTAAATCTGTAACATTTTTCAAGTTTGCATCAGCTCCTCATACTGACATCATATCATCATGCACAGCTATCAAAGTGCCTTTGCTTTTGGTTCCTTCCTCCCTTGAGCGGCTTTGCTCTGCTTCTGAACCTCGGCACTGTATTTTAAGCTTTGCTTTGTTTTGTCATTTTGTTAGCATTCCTCTGCAGTTTTTGGGGTACCTTAATTTAAAAGATAGAATTATGGAGTGTTGTAAAATTAAATTATCTTTTTAATTTAATTTGGCTAATTAATGAAAGTCTATGAATTAGGACGGTTTCTTCTTCTTCTTCTATAATTTCTCCCCCTTTCACTGTTCGCTACCAGAGCTGCAGTGGAGAAGAAGAAACCAATCTCTGAAGAAAAATCAAACAAACATCTCAAAATTGTAAGAGCCTGCAATTGCGTGAACTTTCCATGAAGTTGTTTCCCACTAGCTTTTTTTTTTTTTTTGGTCCCATCTTCTTTTCTTTCTTTGACTCACTATTGTAAAAGCCCTTCAACTTTTCATAAAGTTGTTTCCCACCAACTCCTTTTTGGTCCCATCTTCTTTTTTTTCTTTGACGACTCAATCTGTTTTTGAAATTATATTTTTTTTCTTTATTGATATAGCAGCAAAGCAATAATATAATTTTACCGTTTAAAATTGGAGTCCCCAATTTCCAAAAAGGACTATTCTGGGGCATGGGCATGACCCAGCCTGTCAACTTTAGGATAATATTCAAGTTTTATAAAATTACATGTCTTTTCATTACTTTTTGCCACTGTCCACAAACCTTTCACCGTGTTCGATAAGCAAAATTATTGGGACCCCAAGCATATATATATAAAAAATTATAAAATTATAATTGTATTTAGCCCGAAAAATTTTGACATTACATTATCTCGTTGGAATACATTTTAATTATGTATGTTGGATGAAGGCTACTACAATGTTAATGTTGGTAATGTTTGGTTGTTTGAGTAGTTAAATGATGTTGATTGCTCTTTAATACTGTTGTAACCTGTAAAGCAAGAAACATACCAATTCAAAGAAATTGAATTAGTTTTATTTAATAAGGTGGTAAATGAAAGACTTTAGGGCAAAAGTAGAAAGAGCCACACACATTTCCATCACTTTACTTCTAGGAAAAGCAATTCATTGAGACAGTTTCAAGGAAATTTAGTAAAAATAGGTGTGAACGAAACTTATTTCACTATTGATCACTTTTTTATTTGCATACCAAATATTCCCTCCATATTTAATAAGGTATTTATATTGAGTTACTGCCATAATCACACCCAATGTTCACGGCCCAATAAGTCAAGAAAAATAAGAAAAAGAGGAGCATCTTCCAGGGGAAATGATGAAAGTGAAATGTTGAGAAAGAGCCCATTAATTGCTCATTTAGATTGCATTTCTGAGTCAAGTCAAAAAGTGACAAGGGGAACAACGCATCTTCCAGGAGAAAAATATATTGCAAAGTGCAAACACTGAGAGATAGTGGAAGATAAAATCAATTATATGTTGTTTTATTTTTCCTTCAATTAATTCATTGATAAATCTGTTTTGTTAATTGATTTTTGTTCTTGTTACTCTTGATTCGAAACTCTGATATTCTTAATTTCCCAATTTCACTTAATTCGACTCCAATTTCGAAACCCACTTACTTAAATCACTTGTGAAAACCAGTTTCAAAATTTTTGGTTGCATGTTTGAAAATGTTGAGCCCCATCTCAATCGATGATTACAGAGACAAAGTTAACACCAAATAGTGGCAATATAGAAGGGTATATTAGGAATTTAACAAAATTGTGATGATTTGGAAACTTTTGGGTTTATGGAGAGGTAAATGTGAACACTTGCTAAGAAATTTCCTGTGTGTGAAATAATTTTCCAAATCATAATCTGCTCTTTTTTTTTTTTTTTTTTTTTTTTTTTTTTTTTTTTTTTACAATCAATAAATCCTTAATTCAAACTGAAGTAACCCCTCAACTATCCAAACTCATAATCTTCTCAAAAAAAAAAAAAAAAAAAAAAAAAAAAAAACATTAGTCTTTGATCATGAAAATACTCAAAAGAGATTTAATTCTCAAGTTCTGTAAAACACAACCACAACCTATCATTTGACTGCCTTCCATAGAATAGATACCGTTAACAAATTGTCAAAACGTATAGGGGAAGAAATAAAAAAAAAACAATGTTAGGGTGGTAAGTAATACTTACTCATTAACCAGTTAGGTTAAAGGATTAATCCCATTGTTGTATAAGATATAGCACCGACATAAGGATCATTTGCAAGTAACATCACTTCATGGTTCATAAAGTTTGTAAAAAGAAGAGATATGGCTTCTTTTTCCCATTTTCACTTGTGCATAAAAAGGTTAAAATCATCCCTTTTGGCTTCTACAATTTACTTTCCAGCCAGAATTGATTCTATGATCGATACCAGACTGTACATGACCATTTATAAAATATATTTATCTTCGTTTCATATACAAGATTGCTGAAAACCTATCAATGAAAAAAGATTATACCTTCATGTATAATATATTAAATTACCCCCCATCATTAGTAACTTAAGCAAGAGAGTCTATATATAATATACAAATTTAATTAACTTGGTTTCTAAGTTTTGCCTAATCATTATCTATTAGTTTAATGATAACCAATTCTGTACTTCAATTTTATTCAATTAATTGATGTAGCTCCTCTTACAAACAAAATTCCCTCTAGATTTCATTTGAGTACCATTTGTACATTACAAAATAGCTACATACCTATAATAAAAAAAGCATATATTTTTATGTTTATTTTTTAAGATAATACAATTATATAGACAAAAATATTTTTATTAAGAAGGAAAATCGAAAAACCCGATAATTGTATTAGTGGTAAGTAATGTGAGTGATAATGAGGAAAAAAATAATTAAATAAAATTTGGGAAAATGTACACAAGATTACATTATTTGATTAGATCTTAGAATTTACCCACTCGGATCCGAACCAAGCCCAAATCAAGACCCAGCTGGAGCAAGACTCAGATGTAAATCCAAGCCCAATACATCATCAAAACTGGGGCCACCATCTCCTTTTGAAAACCTACTCAATGAGGGCCCATCCACCACCCGTCCATGGGCCCTACTCTGTACTTGGGTCCCCATCATATTCACACCCAAATCCCCTACGCGCCCGCCATACGCTAGCCCCCCTGCACCTCTCTCATGCGTACTCGCTATCACACACCCGTGCGACACTTGGAAAGCCGGAGCCGTCGCGCGTGGAAGGTACACCCACGACTGCCCCACCGCCGCTGCACTCGCCACGGGAACCACCACTGGCCCAACCGACGCCAGGAGATGCGGCGGAGGAGCAAACGCCGAGATCATAGGGTTCCTCGCAAATGAAATAAGAATTTAACAAAATTTTCTTTTAGTGCCAAAAATAGGACTACATCTAAAAAATTTCGGTTTCTTGAGGGCAAAGTAGAAGGGTATGTTAGGATTTTCACAAAAGTAGTTTAAATTTTCTTGAAAAGACTTGGGGAGGTAACTGCTATAATTTGAAAACTTTTGGGTGTAAGGAGAGGGTAAATTATTTGATTATTTTTCATTATCTCAAAATTATGTGCTACAAATGTGAACTCTCATTGAGGAATTTCCTGTATGTGAATTACTGAATGTGTGTAACAAAATCACACCAAATGTGAATGGTTTATTAGTTGCTTGTGGGTGGCGATGCAATTATAAGTCTGGTCAAAAAAGGGGAAAAAAAAGGGAAGGCACCTCTAGAAAAGAAGATAAAGTTAAAATGCAGATAACTTGATGCAAATACTCAATT